ATATATATACTATTTTAATAACCCTTTTGGATCGAGATCAAATCCACTTGTACCTAGATTTGATCCGAATAATAATTCAGATCTAAATTTTCGATCCTGATCCGAATATCGGATCTAAATCTTGATTCTATATACCTAGATGTGAATAGGATCCAAAATACGGGTTTCGGATCCGAGCCAGGTACGGAACTGCGTGACTCGGACTGGGTCAAGGGCAGGGTATTTGAGGTTCAAAAAACCCCCAAAATTGCCCCATTCTCCCAATCTTATTTATTTATTTTTATATATAGCCCAATCCGAGTTGAGAACTGCACGAGTTGGATTGGGCGATTCGGAATCGAACCCCTACTGAGTAGGAACCCGAATCTGGACTTCGAAACATTGTTTGACATCAAAATGGGCTTGATTCATATGAAATACAAAATGGTGCAGATCCCAAATGGCTTGGGCACATTGTTTGGGGTGGCTCAGCTTGCGCTCTATGCATGCTTTTACAAATCTACGCAACGTCAGTTGGCGGAGAGGCAAGCAAAAGCAAGTGAGGTGCACTTGGGAGAAGTGGTGATTGCAAGTAAAAGTGTGGCCCCTTCAAATATGAATGGAAACTCCATTGAAATTGAGGAGACTCCCAATTCATTCCAAACATCCAACCATGTTCAAGAGAGATAATCAAAACGCACCTTCTTATCCTTGTTCTTTTCTCTCTCTCTCTCTCTCTCTCTGTTCACGGTTCAGGCCTCAGTCCTTCATGAATATAAATGGATATGTCGTAGGGACATTTTCTCCTTCCATTTGATTGTTGCTAAATCCAACTTGATAACTTTTTTTTTTTCCCTTACTTGTTTGCCATGGCTGAGGTGTACAAAATTATGAATAAGAAAAGAAAAAAAAATTGCATTGGGATTTAGAAATCGGCTGGGTCTCGATAGTGAACCACCTGGTTGTAGCCCTTGGACTTAGAAATTGGCCAGGTCCAACAGTGAACAACCTGGTTCTGAACAACTGGGGTAGTTTCTTACTTCGGGGACGTTTGGAAGCAGGCTACACCTAGAATTCAAGCCTACTCCGGTCGGTCAGTGTGAACCTTATGGTTTGGAGTTCTAGATCTTAGTTTGGTGGAGTGGCACTTTCTCTGTGAATGGGACCCGGGTAAGTCTTCTGTACAAGTGAAATTTTAGAGGAGTCCATAGAACATTTATTTTTTGTAAAAAGAGGTCACAATTATTCGTCCCTTAGATTTTAAAATAGGCAGTTGTAAGAGTGTCATTGATTAGACACAAAATTTCAAAAAAAATTTCTCGGACATCATGACTCACCCCAATCCATCCAATTTCACATCTAATGAGTGGTTATATTTGTGATCTCCTTATATAAAAGGTAAATGACCTTTATAAACAATTCTTTTTTTAGTGGCGTTTTGAAATTAAATTAAAAATATGGGTATTGTGTTAAATTGTTTATTTATTATGGGGAATTTAATAAATTTCACGAAATTCTACCCTCAAAGGACCGATAACAGAAAAAGAAAAAGCATGAAGTAAACTAGGCTTACCTAGCGTAGAAACTAAGAGGGCATGACACCTTATTTATAAGTATGGAAATGGAAGATCCACTAGGCTCGTGTATTGAGGCTTTGCGTACCGTTGGATCAATGAATAGGGTTATCCCAACTATCCCATGAGCGGGAGCTATAGATCAACAGCTCTCATCATTTGACGAGGGGGACAACCCTGCACGTGGTTGGATCAGTGCAGGATCGTGCCCTCTTAGTAATTTTGCTTGGGAAAAATACTAGATATTATTATTCTTTCAAATGTTTTTGAGAACCTATCATTATCTGCCACATTTTACCCACCAATTTCCAACATGTCGTCCATGATGATTAAATCATCAATCCAAGGGTCACCATCGTTCGTTGTTGAAAACGATGGTTCCCTCGATCCAATGCGGACGAGTCGCGAACCACCATGTTACAGTGGGAGGTCTCTCCATAGGAATACCCCTCTAACATAGGGCATTGTTCCTGTTGACGGATTACTTCTCAATTTATTCAATATTGGCGGTTAGAGGTAAGGTCATGTTTGGGTAAATCTGTTGACTATGTAGGTATATTATTGGCTACCATTAAATGCCAGTAAGAAAAGGGTAATTTCATTGAGATTAAACCCATGGGGGTATTTGCGAGGTTAAAAATGGCCAAAGACAAACATGTTGTGGATCGGTTTCCATCAGTGCTTGCACAAAAAGTAAAGTGGTCGAGTGCTAGGCGACCAGGCTCAAAGGGCTGAGCTTGGGCCCAGGCAGTCATAGGGCCGGACTGCCCAGCCTTCTTTTCTTTCCTGACCTTTTATGTTTCTTTTCTTTGGGTTTATGAGGCCCGTCCCATAACTGGCCTGGATAGAGCCTCTCTTCAACCTGGAGTGGATCAGGTTACAGCCAGACAAAACTGGTCCACCAACATTTTATTTAAATCTAAATTTTTTGTAATTAGTTGTGTTTGTTTAATGCAGGAAACATGCTAGCCTTGTCCCTCTTCCTGTCTCCGATGTAAGTTTTTGAGCTCTCTCGACATTGGCTTGTGTTAGTTTGTGTTAAGTCGATTACACACATGCACACGCACAGGCACACGGAACGCGTACACACACATATGTATGTATGTTGGTAAGGAAACAAGGCATAAATGCTTATAGTAATGCTCAGTTATGTATGAGTGTCATATTTATGCATGAAGGTTTATGTATGTGCTTTTGTATGTTAGTGTAGGCCTACATTTGTGAAGATATACAAGAAAAGAGAGGTGGCGCAATTCTCACCGGTGCCTTACCTAGTTGCACTATTGAGTTGCATGATGTGGACTGTGTATGGCATGCCTATGCTTCATCCCCATAGCATGCTGCTCCTGACCACAAATGGCTCTGGTCTCATCATCGAATTCATCTATGTTCTCCTCTTCTTGATTTTCTGCAATACCAAACAAAGAGTAAGTCATCGTTAATTGAAAGGGAAAATATCAAGGGTTTAAAAATGGAAAAAGTGTATAAAGAGCTGACGCTTTAAAGAATCAACCTAGAGCCCACCTCAAAAATTTCACTAGAAGAGGTTGTTTGATGCTCAAATATCCTCTAATTGATCATCTCGACATCAAGATGCATGGACATGCGATTAGTAGAATAGCCATCATTGTGGTTGTGGTGCTCTTGCTTGCACATACCTATGCAAAGCGCACACTTACTGTAGGCAGCATCGTTGTTTTCTTAACTATTCTCATGTAAGCTTCCCCTCTCTCTATCTTGGTAAAAATCTCTCTATCTCTATGTTATTTTTTGCCTTATGTGTCTATATGCAATGCCATGTTATATGGTCTCTTTCTTTTCTCTTTCTACACTATTTTTCTCTAGTAAAAAAAAAGGCAAGAAATATGTTCAAAAGAATATAGCTTGGAACAATGAGAAAAGATATAACGATTTATGACCTCACTAAAGGTTTGACCCTTGATGGAACAGAATGAAATGTCATAATTCATGTAGCCAACTCCAAAGAGTTGGAATAAAATTACGATGATGCTAATGTATGCAATAACCATTAATCCACTCTCTCTCTCTCGTTATTGCTCCACATCATCACCACGGTTGGAGAGCTACACCATAGTACGAGGTGATAATTCAATTGGAGCTATGTTCATCTACGCATCGATGTTGAGAATGGACCGTAGATGACCTGTATATATGTGATGTATATTGATGTTACACTCTCTCCATAATCCAGAAGTTATGCTAACATGACGTGGTGGAAAGTGTTGAACATGTCGCAAGTGAAAATGAAAGTGCGGAATTTCCTAAACTAAGTGGCACTATCGTATGTCTTTGTGTGTTGCAGAGAATGGTTATTAGGACTAAAATTGTTGAATATATTCCGTTGTACTCTCGCTAACTTCTTTTGGCACTGGAATTTGCAGGACACCATATGCCCTCATCCGCTTTGACCTATTTGTAACTAATTTTAACCCCAACTTTTATTTATGTTGTTTACCTTGATGTTGGTTTTTAAACCAAGGATTCCGAATGGGAGCATAGTTATCAAGATTGGATCAGACCACCAGTTTCGATGGATCATATCGTTAACTAGAGCCTTGGCTAATCGAGTCCAAAGTAAAAAAAAAAATGTTTGGTAAAAACTAATAAAAACCAATGCATGATTGGTTTGGGGTAATCAGACCAGCCAATTCTAACAATTTTGGCCATTTAAAAAAGTTAGACATTTTTTAAAAATAAATATGTTATGTTTTTCTAATATTAGTTTTATTTTTTTTTTAGATTTTGAAAACTCCTTACTAGTTAGGTAACTGATCTGATCGTAATAACACTGGTTGGCAGTGACTAGGGTCCCTTGCCCAAGTCAAGCTACTCAACTTGACGATTCTATAGAGACTGTCAAGTCATAAAATGTTTAAAAATAAAACCTTAGGAGTCAGGGACTAAAAAGATTTTTGTTCAATGAGGAAGACATGCCCCTACCCGTTTTTTTTAAAATAGATTAGCAGTTAGATTGTTTAAAGGTGGGGGGGGGGGGGGGGTTTGTTAGTGGTAAGAATAGAAAACTACAATGTAGTGACTAGGTGTGAGGATGCTACCACGACGACCCCTGCCCCATTCCTATCACTAAATGGTTGTGACCTCCTTGTACAAAAGATAAATGGTCTTTGTATAGACAATTTCTATTATTATTATTATGTCCCTAACCCTTTAAGTAATCTGGTAACCACTAATGTTCTATTGTAATAGACAAATGCATGAGCCCACTTTTGGGTACTCTCCTTTTCAAAGTTTAAGCTTTAATTTGATATTTTGTACCATAAATGTTTTGTTATTAGAATAGCCCTAGACAAATGCATGAGCCCACTTTTAGGTATTCTCCTTTTCAAAGTGTAAGCTTTGATTTGATATTTTGTACCATAATGTTATTTGAATTGCCCTTAAAAAGCTTGAAACTAGATTGGCTCATAGGAATTCACATAAATGGCACAGATCCCTAATGGGTTGGATGGACTGCTTGGGGCTATTCAGCTTTTGGTCTATGCTATGTATTACAAATCAGCAAGGCAACAATTAGAAGAGAGGAAAGCAAGATTAAGGGAGATCAACTTAGAGGAGGTGGTGGTAACCGATAAAAATTGCACCCTAACAAGTATGAATAGACACCCCATTGAGATGGAAGAGAATCCTAATGCTTTCAACCCTTCCAAGGATGTTCATGATAAATGAACATAATTCAGTCTTATTCTCTCGTTTCATCTCTTTTGAGTTCTTTTCTCTCATTTTTAGTATTTGTTTCATGCCTTCGTCCTCATAAGTGATAGTACACATGATTTTGTGTGTACATTTTCGCTCCTTCTAATGAATTTGATAATGAGCCTTCCTAGGAACTGGGCTTGGACTTGAGTTAATTGACATTAGCAACACTACATCTTAAGTTCGATTTTATCACTGAACTACAAAAGGACAGAAAGAAATAAACTCGAGCATGTATCAGTTTTGTTTCCCTTTATTTTTGTAAAGGAAAATATTACGTTTTAGGTTAGCTGGTATGTTGGAGTTTTGTTCATATTTTTCTTGAAAGTGAGTGTATAGCAAGGGATAGGAGCACGGTTTTCTTTTTGATAGATATTGGAAGAAAAATCTAGGATTAAGGTTTTATCAAGTCAGAGAAGATAAATAAATAGATATTGGAAGATAAATCTAGGATTAAGGTTTTA